GCCTTCCATAGTGGTTGTAGCATTTTATACTCTCACCAACAGTAAATAAGGGCTCCAATCTCTCTATAACTTCACCAGCATTGGTTGCTTTGCTGCTCTGTTGAACTTTGCTATTTTTATTAGGGTGAGATGGTATCTCATAGTTGTTTTGAACAAGTTAGTCTTTAAAGAAGGTTTTACATGAATATAACACCCCAGGTGTAAAAACTATATCCTCACCTGGCTTAAGAGTACTCACCTCACACACACTGGCTGTTGCTGTTGTTATGTCATCAAGTTGAATCAAACTTATGACAACCCCATGTAAAAACAGAGAACTGCCCCACAGTGTTTCTTAGGTTGAGAGCATTCATGGGAGCAGATCAACAAGTCTTTTCTCCTGTGGAACGACTGGTGGGTGTGAACCACTCACCACCTAGTTAGGTGCCTAGTGCTCAGCCTTTGCAATGAGAGTGCTCCTTGGAAACAAGGATGGTGAAGCTTCATCTCACATACTTTGTACATGTTATTAGGAGAGGCTATTCCTTGGAGAGGTGGACATCTTGCTTGGGAAGGTGGCAAGGCGGCAAAAGAGAGGAAGACCCTCGGCAAGAATGGATCGATACAGTGACTGCAGCAATAGACTCGAGTGTGTCAGAGACAATGAGGATGAGATAGGACAGAACTGAGTTAAGATCTGTTGTCTATACTGTTGCTATGAGTTCTACTAGATTCGATGGCATTTAACAACAACATAGGTAAAATATTCAATACAGTCTTGGGAACACAGCCAGTTACTATGGAGGCTAGCTGTGTTCATGGTTATTTTACAGAGCCACCACTTGCCTGTCAATTTGTCACAATTAGTGGCATGTTTCCATGATGCTATAAGCTCTACCACTGGTATTCCAAATGCCAGTGGATTTCAGTAGAAATTTCAGATCACACAGAACAGGCAGAAGAACATGGAGATAACTGTGCCCTTCAGTAACAAAAATTAGCCAGTGAAACTCTTAAGGTAGCAGCAGAACACTGTCTGATACAGTGAAATATACAAGATGAGCCCCCAGGTTGGCAGACATGTAAAATAGGACCTGGGAAGAGCCTACAGATGGAATGAAAGCTTTTGGGACCCTTATCTGCTGATGTGGCATGAGACATCATAGATAGAGAAGAAAGAGCTGGAAACATCCATTACTAATGGAAACTTTAAACGTACAGATTATGAATCAAGGATAAATGGATGTTTTAAAAAATGAAACACAACACTTAAAAGATTGAGAATGGGCTTGAGAGAATCTTTCTATGATGATGGTTCTGAAAGGGAAGAACAAAGCCCCTGCCCCTCCCAAAACCACAGCCAAAGCAAAGATATTAAAAATGCCAGGATGGCCACCCTGAAGGGCATCCACAGCCACAAAAAAAGATCTACACATCAACCACTGTCCAGCGGCCTAAGATGCAGAGATTCTGAAGGCAGCCCAAATACCCCCAGAAAAGACCCCCAGGAGAAACAAGCTTGACCCCTGTGCCACCATCAAGTTTCCCCTGACCACTGAGTCAACCATGAAGAAGACAGAAGATAACAAACCACTTGTGTTCTCTGTGGATGTCAAGGCCAACAAGCACCAAATCAAACAAGCTGTAAGGAGGCTCTATGACTTCGAGACAACAAGGTCAACACTTTGATTAGGCCTGATGGAGAGAAGACGACCTATGTTCGACTTGCTCTTGACTATGATACTTTGGATATTGCCAACAAAATTGGGACCATCTAAACTGAGTCCAGCCGGCTAATTCTAAATACAGATTTTACACACTTACACACTTACACACACACACACACACACACACACACACACACGATTGATATATTAGGCCTTTGCCAGTTTGGACTGGTATTAACCATTTCAGATCAGACGATCAAATGGTCTACTGTGATGGAAAAGAGATCAAATTCATCATGAAAAATATGTTCTGATCTATCCTGAAGCACAACACTGTCATTAATAAGAATATATCCAACCACCAGTTGCTCTGTAGGAGAAGGTCGGGCAAACTTCTTCCGTGAGAAAATCAGCTGGAGGGTCAGTAATGAGTAGGTTCTGAGTCAACGGCACACAGCAGGGTAAGGAATAATGGTTTATTATTCAAATTTACAAACCAACCACTGATGTCAAAGAATAAGACACTAAAGAGGATTCATCAAACTCTGTTTTGACATGGATCAAACATGTAATCAAGGAGCACTGATGGTTATTGGTGACTGGAATGTGAAATTTCCAAACAAAAAAGACTCAGTAACTGGAAACCACAGTCTCAGAAACAGAAATGACATTGGGGAACACATGAGCAAATTCTCCAAGAGCAACAACATCAGAAATAGCTTTTCAACAACATAGAAGAATGGCTATCCACATCCTTGCCAGATGGAACACCCTCCTGAAGAGAAAGCAAGGAAGTCTCTGCCGAGTGTGACACTCACTTGGTGGTGTTGCTGTAGACACGACGGCCATGCTGTGTGGGGCAATTCCAGAGGTTCCTGGAGGTGGCTGCCCCATGGTGCCCAGGCCACCCATCCCACCCAGGGATTGCCCTGGACCCCGAGCAGCCATGCTAAGTCCAGTAGCTCCTGCGGCAGGGGTGCCAGTCAGGTTCTGTAGTGCATTCATAGGATCTGTGGGACACAAGGACACGTTAGAAAAGTACTTTCTGACCAAACGAGGCGCTGAAGTGTGTGAAGCTCTGTGAGCACCAACCTCTTGCTCACAGTTGCCACCCCTCAAAGCCCCAGCCCAGCACCTCACAAACCAGGGACAGCGTCCATCACCACTCCCAGACACTGAGCTCCCAACAGTAGCGGGCATGTCCCACCTACATCCTCCACCTGGTCTGTGTTGGGGTCATAATGTGAAGGATACTTAAGAGCCAGGAGCTCGTAGCCTTTTGGCTCCCTACTGAATACACAGCTTACACTTACAACACGATGTTTAATGAGATGTGACGGTATTAAGACACTTCACAAACACTACAACCTAGAAATTGGAATTACACCATAACTGAGCTCTGGTGGCCCAATGGTAAGGAGTTGTACTGTCAAATCAAAGGCAAGCAGTTCGAATCCACCAGCTGATCTGCTGGAAAAAGATGGCCAATCTCTTCCTGTGTGATTTACAGCCTCTGAAACCTTTGTAGAGGGTCAGCTAAGTCTGTTCTGACTCAAAGACATACACCACTACCACATCATAATATTTATGAGACAAAGTGCTCAGAACTGTAGATGTCTTAGTAATTTGGGGGATTTGGGCATTCCTTCTGCTGAATGTTAAGTGATGTAGGATGAGCAATGCCTGAGGTCAATCTAATGGAGCTGTTGGCCTGCTTAACACTCATTGCGGGGAGCACATTCTCCAGGACCCCACTGTGGCATCTTCCTCAAGGATCAGGTGACACTCAGGGTGGGTCTCATTCCTGCCACCCTAGGGCAAACCTGGCACAATTTAAATTAGAAAATGAAAAACTCTTACCGCTGACAGATGCTTGAGATTTCTTGTTATCTATACAGAGAAACACAGAAAGTGAACAAAGTGTTACATGACTACAAGCCTGCCAGAGTCAGTCAGCTGTGTAGGTAATTTTCATTTTCAAAAGCAGAGCTGGTCTGGCCTAGAATCCAGACAGAACCCATGCACAGCCTCACAGTTTGAACTCCCAAGGATCTCCCAGTGCCCCAAGGAAGAGGACACAGAACTGCCCGAGGGTCAGTGTGGGGCCCAGAGAACTGCCCCTCAGAGTGGCACACTGAAGAATGGGTGTCTCTGCAGCTGAGGCTTTCCTCTCTTCCAGAGCAAGGGCTCCTCAGCCCAGTCACTGAAGAACAAGAAAGTGAAGGAGTTGGTGATGGGCCCAGGTGGTGTGGGGAGCTCCCTTTCAGCCCCCTCTGTTCTCAAGATGAGAAAATCAAGGTTCACAATACCCTTGTGCAAGGCTGGCTCTCATCTCTATACTCTCTCACTCTACCTCTGAGCCACCCACATCCCAATTCATGGTTCCTTTACTCCTACACACCCCACACCTTGATTATCTTGATTCATGGTTCCTTTGCTTCTAAACACAGAAGACCACCCAGGTCCCTGAATCTTAGGCTATAGGGACACTTTTCACTCTGAAAGGCCAGGACTGCTGGCTGATCTGCTGAGAAGAACTGGAATCTACAGGTGGCAATGGGTGAGTTCCCAAGGGACCATGGGTGTGACACCTACCCACACAAACTTGATAGTCCATGAGCCAGCAGGGTAAGCTCCCCAAACATTTCAAGGAAGGGGAATCAAGTGGGGATGGTGGTCTTGGGCATGAGGCAGCAGGGCATGTTGAGCGCGTTAACACTCTGGACAGCAGGCACGGAGTCGTCTCCAGTATTGACACAACCGCAGCTGCCAGGAGGCCCCAGTGGACAAGACCACAAGACCCACCTCACTTTCCTTTGGGGAAATTCAGGAATGTTCAGTGTGCAGTTGTCACATGCTTCCACAGGACACACCAAAGACCAGCCAGATCCCAAGACAAAGAGCACAGTGACACACTTACTCCTGAAAAGCTCCCTGGGCACTGACAGAATCAGGCGGCCCCTCAAGCTGGAAGTAGCATGTGAACGCACAGGGGCCAGAAGGCCTCTCGCTCAGATGCTGGCCCCATGACAGAGAGCAAGAGGTGAGGGCTTAGGCAAGTGATCTCAGATGTTACCCCAGACAGGAACACAGAATTAGATGAGGACCCCATGGGTTAAAGAAACTGATCCTCACAAAAGGGATGTTTCTGTTCTGTGCACACACTGCTTCTTAAGAACGTTAAGTGTTAGAAACAACAGCGCTTTAAAAAAGGAGATGAAATCCCTCTGAGGTCAGCATTCCCACTAAGTTAAATGCTCTTTACCAGACTCAGGCTCCAGGAGGGCGGAGATCTGGGAGGAAAGGGCAAAGTGGTGCTGAGCTCTCATGAAAACAGGCCCCGTACACAGGCTGTGTTCCAGATGACCGAGCCTGGCCTCCCACACAGGCTGCAAACACCACATAGAACACACAGCCATACTCACGGATGTCTCGAAAGTGGATAATGAGCCTGGCCACAAGAGAGAGGTATTCGTCCTAAAAACGAAAACAGGAAGTAGATTAATCCCACCTGAAGCCATGAAACTGTGCGGGTTGCCTCCATGACTTCACGGTCCGGACTCGCCCCTCTCTGGAATCCATTGCTCAGAGTGGGGCTGTCCACCCTCAGCTACGCCAGGCAATAAACAACCCACAGGGAACACAAAGCAGGGCAGGGCCTGTGAAGCTGAGCCCAGGGGACTCTGGGCAGTGCCTCCAGAAGTGATACGGCCTAGGAGCCAGGGCTGGCCTGCAGCCACAGGGCACCTCTCAAGTGGATGGGGACAAGGGATTTCTGCACTATTTATATAAAAATGCTTTCACTTTCAAGGCCTCGCCTGCTGCTTGTTCACATGCATCTCTGGGCCAGCTGTCCACTGGTGGGCGGTGCATTCCAGATCGGGACTTGCGTCCAGGTGGCCCATCTCTAATGGTGCCAAGCAGGGCTGGCCTGCCTAAGAATGTCCTATGCATGCTGGTCCTTGATTATGGGGTTCTGGGTAAGACATCACTCCACATCTGTCTGCAGTCCACAAAGGGACATGAATTACATGGCCACCAGTGTGCAGTGTAAAGCCCTGTCCTCATGGACTGTCCCTTGCAATGCTGTGATCTGAACCTGTCCCTCTGAGAGTACACTGAGGCTACAACCATGCAGTCCTATTATGAGTGGCCTAGCCTTAGACAGGCAGGGAGAACACCATTTATCATGGGAACAACCTGAGAGAGGGAAATGAGAGGAAAAGGCCCCTTGGATGAATTGTACAGAAGCCAGACTTCCTCAATCTTGAATGCCCCCAAACCTCTTCCCTGGTCTAGCTCCAGATCCTGCTCTGGTGCCTTTGTCCACCTATGGGCATGAATAAAGGATAACCCAAGGGAAAGCTGGTACCAATGAGGAAGGACAGCCTAGGATGACAGTCATGGGCTGAGGGGGGAGGGCAGTACTGCCATGGGAAGAGTGGTCACCCGAACACATCCAGTTGTCAACACCCCACAAACTTTTGACAGGGAAGATGATGTGTTAGGGACAGGACTATGTCACTGCCTGTGATACACGGGTGCTTAAAGAGAGAGACACTGGTGGATGAGGAGTCATGAAGAGTGGGGTCAAGGAAGGGCAGAACAGGAACAACATGACCAAACACCAGGGAATGAGGCCTCAGACAGCCATGCCATTAGGGCTTGTGGCCATTATCCATGTCCATAAAAAGCAGAGCAAGAGAAGTAGATTTAGAAACATGAACATCCTTATGCTCATAACTCCCACACATGAACTGAGGTCCAGTATCGTGTCCCCAGGACACCAGAGCACTGAACTAGGAACTGAAAAAGACTCTCCTAAGGCTGAGCACTGGAGCTGGGGACAGTGGTCAACCTGCAATGGTTGCTCCCCTTCCTGGTGGCCGCTGCCTGAGACAGCCCACTCCTACCTAAGCGGACCTGTGAAAGCTCAAAACACCTCACAGGGGGAGAAGGACAAGGTCACCTGACAGGTAAAACAGGACACCATGAACAGTTATGTCACAACTTTTAACTCAATAGCATTTTTGTGAGTTAAATGACTTTTCCTACATTCTTTGAGAGCTGAGTCATCACAGAACATTTGAGGACTGAAGGCTGGAGGTCAGTTCCCAGAGTGCATGTGCTCCTGTAGGAGAAAACCCCAGCATCTGAAGTAATGTCTTGTGCCTCAATCTTGTCATTCACCCTGACCCCTGGCCTGTGGTACAGCTGCTCCCCCCAACTCTGGCCTTCAGAATGTTGGCATCCAAACAAAATTTTCCAGGCATGAGATGCCTTTAGTCCTGTCTAGACAGAAAAGCACCCCTAATTTATCAATGCACCCCAACCCTCAAAGGTGGCTCCAGAGACAGAAGCTGAAGAGAGCATGTGGCCATCCCTCAGCTCCACATGCTCTCTTGCTCTCCACCGAAACGGAAAAAGGTCAGACAGCCGGTGACGCTGGCACTACTCATAGTGACCCTGTGAAAAGCAGATCTGAACCCTGCCTCTTACTGCTGAGTTTCTGGTACTTTCTCTACATTCATGAAGTAGGAGTTTCTTCACTCTTTTCATGGCTTATCCAAAAGCCCTCATGAAGAACTTGTACTGGTCAGTCTAATTTTTAAGCTATGTGAAACTCCTCCATTTTTATATTTTGGTGAAATTATGTCCATCAGACTCACCTCTCACTGGGGTGTTGGAGGATGGTTAGAATGCACATTGCATAGCCACTTGGCAGTGCTCACTGTAAGCAGTTATCTGCCCAATGGTTAATCTTAAGGAACACGTGACTCAGGGCAGGGTCCTTGCCATCACATGCTATGCATCTGAGAGCCGGACAATGGGAAAAAGGATGAGAGAAGAACTGATGCTTTTGAGCTGTGATGTAGGGAAAAGAGTACTTGAACACCCCACGGACTGCCAAAGGAACAAACAGATATGTCCCAGAGAAGGCACAGCCCGAGTGTTCCTTGGAGGCAAGGATGGTGACGCTTCATCTCACATATTTTGAGCATGTTGCAGGAGATGTTATTCCTTGGAGAACATCACGCTTGGAAAAGTGGAGGGTTGGCGGAAAAGAAGGTGACCCTCAACCAGATGGAATGACACATTGACTGCTGCAGTGGGCTCAAGTGTGTCAGAGATGATAGCACAGGACAGGGAAGGGTTCAGCTACTCAATAGATGCAAATAAAAACCAATGGCTCCCATCAACAAATGAATGGATAGAGAAGCTATGGTATATTCACACAATGGAATACTATGCTGCATTGAAAAACAAGGAATTCATGCAGTATTATTCAAAATGGGTGAGCCTGGAGGACATTATGCTGAGTGAAATATCTCAGTCGCAAAAGGACAAATATTTCATGGTGCCACAGCTGTAACTGGGACTGATATCAGGGTTGGGGTAAGACTGAGAAAACTGGATAAATTGTGTATACTGCACTGAAACAGATGAGGGAGAGAATAATTTAAAAGCCATGTATGATAGGGTATTATGGTTATCACAAGAGTTCACAATTAAGGTTGCATAGTGGAACGTACCTGGGGTGGTGGGAGGGGTGCGGGGGGATTGTGTACCAGGGAGAGAGTGTTTCTTTTACTTTTCAAAGAGAGGAGTGAACTAGGGTAGGGGGCAGGGCTAGGCAGGGAGAGAAGTGCAGCAATGAATGAATGGAAATCCAAAATCTCTGTAAATGTTGATTAAAATTATTAAAAAAAAATTTAAAAAACAAAAACAAACCAATAGCTACACTACTAAAAAAAGAAACTGAAATACTGCACAACATGGATGAAACTAGAATTATTCAGCATAAAACAGTCAACTCAACTCAACACCACTGAGTCAAAACAAACTCTTGGGTGACCTTCCAGTGGGTTTTTGGAGGCTATAAACTGCACAGGATACTGCTCATTCTTCTCTTTCGGAGCAGCTGGTGGATGTGAACTACCAGAGAGGCCCCACCTTTGAGTTAGCAGTGCAACTCCCTACACTACCAGGTAAGTCAGCCATAGGACAATTACGGTATCCCTCTCTCTCACTGTCACTGACATTGGTGGGCAGCACATACACTCCCCCCACCCCCAAAAAAGACCAAAAATGGTGCTCTGGTGGTGCTATGCTAAAGCATCCAGCGGCTAATCCAAGGTTGGTGGTTTGAACCAACCAGCTGGGAGGAAGGGAAGGCTATGTGCTTCTAAAGACTGCAGCCTTGCAAATTCTATGGGGTGGTGGTGGTGTCCTGCAGGGCAGTGCTGTGAGTCAGAATGGCAAGGAGGCTGCCAGGAGGAAGTGAGTTTTTAGGAAGGCTCAGATTAGAAAACCCTTCACATTATGTGAAGTTTGGGCAATAATACAGAATATGGAAAAATTATTGATGAATTGTTGGTGAAGGCTACTGAATAAACTATGAATAACCAAAGAGCAAACAAATCTGGTGCTTAAGGAAGCAAAGCAAGGTTGTTACCTACCAGGAACTGGACGATATTATGCTCGGGAAAGCAACGGGTTAGTAAAAAAGATGACTATCCTTTGGGCATGTTGCTTGGACAGGCTCTTCTTTGAAGAGGGACATTATGCTTGGGAAAGTGGAGCACCAGTGAAGAGGAAGACCCTCAACAACCAGATGGACTGTCACAGGAAAGGACAGGGTTGCTGTGAGTCATACTTGACTCAACAACAATATCGTTGTAATAGTTAATAGTGTGTGTGCCAATGTGACCATGATCCTCAGTAGAATATATCTCTCCAACGTGTAGGGAGCTTTGTTGACAGAGCCCAAGGTGTGCAGCTAAGCCAAAGGTGGAAGATCTCTGGTTTTAATCTCCCAGCAGTCGTGGGAGAAAACTGGGCTGTCTCCCTCTCCTGTGAATCACAGCCTCAGAAAAAATTCAGTGGAGCCATTGCTATGAGCAGCAAGCTACTTGAAGGCAGTGAGTTGTGAGTTATGAAGGAAGAAGGAATAGAGTTCTGTAAATATATATTCAGCCTGATCTGAGGAAGAGGAAGTCTCCAAAGGGGTATGGCCTGCATTTGATGGATGTTTATACTCTGGCAAAGCCAGAGTTCTATGTACTACCCAGCATCAGTGGAGTGGTCAGCAGGGAGTTACACTGCTAACTCAAAAGGTTTGAACCCACCAGTGACTCCTCAAGAGAGAGACGGGCTATCTCCTTCTGTATGATTTACAGCCTTCAAAAATCCACTGGAGGGTCAGGTCTAAGTGGGTTCTGACTCAATGGCAATGAGTATGAGTGAGATCTTTATCTTGCCTCTGAGTTCCGACCCAACAGCAACGAGGAGAAGATGACAGGCAGCCAGACATCTGGTCTACATCAACAACCATATTATGTACACAGAACAATCCAGTTTGCTAAAAATGAAGAGTATTTGTGTTTCTTGTTGAAACAGATCAAAGACTGCACCACTGAATACGGATTATACCTTATCATCAAAACAAAGCAACAGGTAACATCATGACAAACCAG